GGCCGTGACCCGTGGCCGGGTGCTGAGCTCCTGCCTCCTTCCCAGCACGGAGGTGGTGGCATCGCTCGCTTGGTGAAGCCCAAGGGGACAGAGAGGGAAGCCGACTCGGCGAGGCCTGTGCCGGTGGGTTCTTGAGGAGGAAGCAGGTGGCAGAAGGCTGCAGGTGCTCCGGCTGCTGGCCCAGCACTGCACGAAGATGGGGTGCCTGCCAGTGCCAGCCAGCTGGCCCCTGAAGAGATGGCTCAGGCTCGGGCTCATCGTGCTCTATTGCATTACTTTGGGTAAGTGAAGCATCCGCATCGTTGTTCCCTCGGTGAGGGAGGCATGCTGTCTTGGTCAGGGCCAGCTTGTGCTTCTTGAGTTCCTCTGTCATGGCAGAGATGGATGAGGCATTCTTACAGCCTCTCCCTGGCTGACACAAATGTTCCTGGCTGCTGAACTTCTGCTGTTGAGGTGGGAGGATGAAGAATTCTTGTGGCTCAAGCTTGCTCCATGAGGAAGAAACGATGTGCTGGGTCTGGGGGGAGAAGCAAGCTGCTGGCTCCTGGGCTCCTGGGCTCGAGCAGTTTCTGGAGTTTTTTGGGTAGCTGAAAGTGAGTCTGTGGTGGGGAGACAGGACAGGGCGGTGTGTTGTGCTGTAGCACAACAAGGGGTCCCTCAGGCAGCACAGCTCTGTGCCAGAGGACAGTGATGGCTGTCCCCAGTACGGGCCACAACATTCATGAAAGCCCACAGATCACCCAGACCTCAAAGGGCTTGGGTTGATTCTTCTGAGATGCTAACCTTATAACCACACAAAGCTCACTGCTGAGCTGGGATTTGTGCTCACAGCCTGTGCTTACCGGCAGTCGTGGTGCCTCACTGCAGATAATGAAACTCTGGAGCAAACCGGGGCTGAACTGGGGTTTGATTAAAAATCAACTGCTGCAAAATAAGGAGGTTTTCATGGTGGTGTTGTGAAACTGCAAGATATTTGATACTCTCCGCTGGGTTTCATTTTGACTTTCACTCTCAGAATCTTAAAACAAAACTCAGAGAATTTAGCAGGGATGAAATCGCGGAGCCGGCTGGTGAAAAAGCAGCCTCTGGACCACTCCTGTGAGCTCTCTGTTCTCCTGCCTTCCCCACACTCCTTCCATGGCCTCTGTGCTTACAAAACACATGTCAGGCATGGGCATATTTTGCCCAGACTGTGATCAGCAAACAATTCATCATGGGCAGAACTGTTTCTCCGCCCGTAATTTAGGAGTTTCTGGGTTTGTGTTATGCTATTCATGTAGTAATGTGTGCACATTAATCATCAATCCTGTAGATTTTCTAAAAAGGATGCTGATTCCAAGTCCAAAGACAAGTAATACTTAGATATACAGCCTGATGCTAATCATCAGTACCAGAAATACGAGTTTGGTAATATCAGCAAACTAGCAGTCCTAGTGGTTAGTGTAGTTTTTCAATATGTTTTACTAAAAGAATGCTCGTCCGTTCTGCTGGCCTTCTCTCCAGCTTTTTCTTAGACTTCTGCTCGTAACTTTTGAACTCCCTGCACAGTTTCCATCACTGCTGACAGGAAGGCAGAGCTGGAAGGGCTATAGCAGGGATGCTGTGGGCCCCTCATGCCCAGCCAACAGCATCTGGAAGGAGCTGTACCAGCACAGCAGCACTGAGGAGATGGGAATTAGCTGGAAGATGTGGGGAGAGGGCTGGGAGACACAAAGCAAAACTGCATTGACTTTGGTCACCCCATTGCTGAGAAGAGTTACTTTTCTAAACCTGATTGATTACAGAATTGCAGGGTTTGATTTGGCAGTGGACAAAAAGCTGTTTTGGAAGCATTATGTCAGCTTTCGGGGTGCAGTTGTTAGATCCTTCCCACACAATGAGTATGTGGAATTCCTGGTGCTGGCTGATAAGGACAGCACAGCCGACATGCTTTATTTCTCCCTTGGTATGCATACATACAAACCCCGCCACTCTTCTCTCCCAAAAGGGGTATTCCTTCACTGATGATCCTTAAAACTCCATGGTACGCTATCACACGTGAGCCTTTTCAGGACTTGGAGGTGCTGCCTCCCCTAGCCCTTCCACGGGGATCACAAAGACCAGCTTCTGACTTTCTCGTGGCAGAGCAATGCAGCCCTAGGAGCTGCCACGGCCCTGCCAGCGACTTCCTGCAGCACTAAGCAGGGCACAAGGGCCAGCAACTTCAGAACTAATCTCACCTGATGGTATATGTATATAACTATCTATCTATCTATCTATCTACCTATCTATATCTATGTATGTATATAAAGATATAGATAGATAGATATACATGTAACTGTGTATACCTATCTATCTATATTTATATAAATTGAATTTTCCTGCTCTGAGGTTCACCTGAGGTGACCTGATGAAATACCACTGTAATTTAGCGCTGCTCCTCAAATGTCATCTGCTGATGGAGATGCTGATGCACACGAATGCCCTGCTGTCTCAGAGCAGTGGAAAAGCAGCAGAACAGTCTCAATTACAGCCTTGATTACAGCGCAAAGTTATTTATTTATGGTCTATTGCTAGTATCCCTGTGGGCTTGTTTTTCGCCTGCCATTGCACCTTCACATCTAGCTATCGCCTGAAGGATGGCTACGTCCTCCTCAGTATGTGGTTGTTATACGGGGAAAACATCACTTAAAGTAGCCCAGAAAGACCTGTCCCTGCCCAGTGTGCCAAGCTGGCAATGGTGCTGATGGCAGGGTCGAGCCACCCCATGTCTGGTCCACGGAGTATTTCTTTTTGGCTTCCCTGGAATCTTTTCAGCTACCAGAGACTGTCCAGTTTTTGGTCCTTCCCAGTTATTAAATCTTTGGGAAGTTTTGAGGGAAATTCCTACAGCTTGTCAAAGTTATTGTAGAGCTGGGGAAGGGAGGGGGGAATATTCACTTTCCTCAGCATGGCAAAGGAATGTTTGCTCACATGTAACTCACTCTGGAAATCCCCTTCACATCTTACCACAAGTAAGGAGCTCAGAGAGGACCTGGGTTTCAGAAAGGAGTACGGAGGGTAAGGAAGATTCTCTGTTTCATGGCCTCCCCTGAATATTGGCAGGCTGGTAATGAGCACCAGGTGCTTTGTGCCTAATTGCTGCGCCAGCTCCAGCATGGGGTGTACTGAGGGCAAATTGCATGGCGGAGATGCCAGAAATTTTTCTGTGTGTATGAGATTTGCCCACTTCACCAGTGGATGCAAATGGAGTTTGTGTCTTATTGCTCTTGCTGCCCTCGGCTTTTTTTGTCTTTCTTTTTTTGGATGAGTGTCTGTCTCCTCCAGCTCCAGATACTCAGAAAAGTCTTTGGTTTAAAAGCAAGAGCTGCAGAACTGAGGAGCTCCCGTTTCTGTCCGCCTGTCTATCCAGAACGAAACCTGCTGTAAAGCCTGTCTGAAGAAACAGAAACCCAGCTAAGGCTCCTGTTCTTCTTTATAGATCCCCCTGTGCTATTTCTGGATTTTTTGAATGAAACTGTTATTTGGGGGAGGAAAAAATATTGAACAGACAAGCAAAATTCTTACACAGTCAAATCATAGTTACACACATGTATGGAGTTTGCATAGGTCCAACATTTTAACCACATTGTGTCCAACTAGATCAGAGTGAACCCAATTAACTCTGGTCATCACTCTGAGGCCTTTGTCCCTTTCTTGGAGCACCGAAGCATTTGTAGTCTCTTTGTGATGTGAATGTCACACATTCCCGCATTTAAACATGCAAAGTTTGGGGCTGAAATTTTTACACCCTGAGGCTGCCCTGCACGCCCTCACGCTGCTCCAGCTCACTGCTGCCTTGAGCTGAGCTGCGGCGTGGTCAGGATGGTATAGGTATCCCACTCCCGTCCCCTCGCTGATGCTGTCTCTGGCTCTTCTCTGACCATGGGGTGAACTTGTCCAGCTCCCAGCCTGCCAGAAAGTCTCTTTTTTTTCCACTTTTTTCCTGCCAACAAGGCACACTGACCCAGCCTCTAGGGATTCCTTAAGAGAAAGCCACGGAAACACATGGGGCTGGAAATGAAGGGGGAGCAAGGTCTCCTTTTTCTGTGTGAGAAAGCTGCGAGTGGGGCAAGTTTGTCATCCAGTTGCAGCTGGAGACCAGTCTGGAGTAGAACTCCCATGATCAGAGAGCTCCTACTTCCTTTCTAATTGTGTTTCCTACCTTCATGCCTTAAACACAGTGTTCTTCATGATGATGTAGCAAGGCCAATATATCAGACTCACTTAAGCTTGGTGAAGAAGTCGGCTTTCTTTTTGTGGATACGAACTGTATGTTTGATCGCAGCCATTCTGTCCCCTTGGAGGGGCACCGCTCTCAGGAGTCTCGGTAGGTCGTCTGAGAGTATGTAAATCTTTCCCAACACAGAAATGCCACGAGCTTTGCTTCTGCTTTTTCACTGTTATGCTTTTAAAACATCATTAGTCCCAGGGGACTGCCTGGCTAAAAATAAAAGTGCTGAGTGCTGGGTGGCACCTCCAGCTACGCTATGCTCTAAAGATGCCCGTGCCTTGGTGAGCCCCAGATGCTACCGTGTGGTAGCAGGGGCATCTGCACACTGCTGCTCTGCCTGTGGTGTAGCTGCATGTACCCAACAGACAGGGCACACCTGCACGGGTAAATGGTGCTGTGGCTGTGGACAGGTACTTCAGAAAAAATAAAAAATTATTTCTAATTCTGAGCAGGCTTACGTGAAAGGCATACTGCTTGCTTTCTGTGGTTGCTGGGCACTTTCACCTCCTGTTAGTCTCAAGAGGGGCTGGCTACGTGGGGAGCATGTGAGGCAGTGAGGTTTAGTGAGCACTGAAGGAACTGAGGCCTTCGGCAGTGGGGAGACCTCAGCTTCCAAAGCTTTACTGTGAAGACTGCAGTATTTATAGTGGCAGCATGGGAAGAGTCTATAGAATGATCTGAGGGCATCTCCAGCTGGGGGATAGATACAGAGGAATACGAAGTCGTACAGTCAGCAAGGGACACGGTCTCTGGGGAAAAAAATTAGCAAGTTTATTTTTGTCTTTGTGTGCTACAGATCCCCCCCAAAGGCCTGTCTTACACAACTGCCACATCTAGTTTCTGCTGGAACTTGGGAATCATAAGAGTGCTCAGTCAGTTGCAGGAATTTGATCTCAAAAGGAACTAAAACATGCAAATCTTCTGCGGGCATCCAGATTCAGTGTTTCCCCTGCCTTTTCCTCTGGCTGGGTCACCCGCTCCCAGTACTGGGAATGGAGAAGGGGAAGGCTCAGACAGACTTCCCTTTACTCCTTTCCCCAAGTCAGAAATGTCCTTCCGTCCCCACCACCAGTGTCCCTCCCAGTGCATGCCAGCAACACATAAGCATGCCCTCCACCCTTTCCTCCCCATGAAACGCCCATGTGGAGGACTTTGCAACAAAGGGGGAGATGTCAAGAAGCTATTCAGTCAACGCCATCATCTCCCAAGTACTTTTCAGCCCCGCGCTCAGAGGTGGCCTGGCTAGTGCTGAGGTTAGACATGTACTAACTAAGTTGCAGTGAGAGGAGTTGCGGTCTTACTCATCTTATAAGCAAAGCAGACTGGACATACCCAGGCGGTGGGCTTGTCCCAGCTCAGGGCCCGCGTGACTCAGAGAGTGGCAGATTTTTATCTCAAGAAGTTCCCAGACAGGGCTGGGGAGAGCAGGAACAAAGGGAGAAGGACTGGTTGGCTGTCGTGGCCCTCGTGCTGCTCTGGGCCCCTTCATCAGAGCATTTCAGATTCTCCTTCTCCTTCTCAGTCACTAATCACAGATCATGGAAGTTTTTGTCATCGGTGGATTTCCTTTCCCATTAAAGCCAGGTTTATGACAGAGCAGTGACTCAGTTACAGCATGACCTCCTGTGCCATTCTCGATGCTTTCATGGCATGGAAGGAGGGTATGGAATGCTTGCAGATGCAGGAAGGTCTCTGGTTTTCACAGCCTGAACCACATGATTTCAAGGATTTATTCTTTAAAGGCAGTTACTGATCTGTTAGCAGGAGTATGGCTGTGAAGACAGAGGCACGCAGAGGTGGGGAGCACAGCTCACACTGCCGTTACACTGCAAAAGGAAGCAGAGCCAAACATTTAGGAAACCTCTTCCAACCCTCTCCCTGTCTCAGGCCTGCCATGACATCAATGTAAACTAGGAATAATCCTCCCCTCTCATTGCTGTGGCACACTGTGTAGTGTGTAGGAGGAAATGAGACTGAATGGATCAGCAGCCAAATGAAGTGGGAGGCAGGTTTTCTTCAGAATACAAAGGAGTTCTCTGCTCTCCCACCACATCTGGGATGAGTAACTGAACGTGACCTGTTAGGAGGTCACTGTGACAACAGCTAACTGAACACAGTCAGCAGCAGCTTTGCTTTGCCGGAGCGGTGCAGAGCGGCTGGTTTAGCTTAAAGTATTCATTCCAGTATTCATGCGTTGCACAGGACATTTGCTATGAAAATCTTTGAAAGATTAAGATCTCTCACCAGTAAAATCAACTGGGGTAAAGACCAACGGGGAGTGCTCAGCCCCTTGGAGATTCAGTTTTTCGAAATTTCTGAATGTTCAAGCTAATATAAATGCCTGACAGTTTGCCTGAGAGCTTTCTGCAAAACTGCCAGCTGAAGAAGTGTGCAGATGCACTGTCTGATGTGCTGCCCCCAGAGGGGCAAAGGTTTCTGGGCCCACCAGGCAGGGTCTTTCCCTCTATGTGGGTTTGCTGAAGAATTTGTGAAAGACTAAAGATGTTGGTTAAAGACCCAACGGCCTTCTTGCTTTCTGATTCTCAGAGCGTACAAAACCAGTGCCTTTCCTCTAAGCTGCCTTTCTGTTCCAATTAGACTTGCTTTGGGGGCAGCTGCAGCACAGCAGCAGTTTGAATGGAGCATCTTCTCTGCCTGGGGAAAAGGGTCAGCATCGGCCGCACAGTGCAGGCTGCCAGCAAGGGAGAAACACAAGCACACAGTGAGGGAGTGGGTGGGCTTCACCAAGGGCAGGAGGGTGGCTTATTTCTTTTTCTAAAAAAGTAATTAAAAATTATTTCCGTGGCAGATGCTTCCCTCACAGCCCGGCTACGGAGGGTATTCAACACAGAAATGGGACAGAACTGAGCTTTCATTTTTGCTTTGCAGTTCACCTTTAAAGTGAAAGGGGACTTTTGTGGGGCTGAATGGCTCTTCATGGACTTTGATTCCTGCAGGCCCTCAGCGCTCAGGTTGCAGTTTCAAGGCTGCAGCGCCTTGTAAGGGTAGATGTGACATCAGCAGGAGTTTCCAGCCCTTGTATATGTACTGCCACGGAGGTTTTTGTTCTCCTTTTGGCAGCAAAGGAGACTCTTAGGGGCAAGGCACAGAGAACCTCATGCAACCCATGATGTGCCGTCACACTGACATTTTCTGTACGCCTACTCTTCCCCTGTTGCTGCAAAAGGAAATAGAAAATAAATACATACTCAACTGCATTGTCGTTTTCAGGATCCACAATCCCAAAGTTTTGCTGGCTGCTCTTGGAGGTCTTGCCTGCACAAGAGCTGAACTGTGTGAAAAAGCAAATATGTGGTTGAGGAAAAACACAAGCAGACACGCACGCAATGCCTGCAGACACACAGTGGGAGGAACTTCAAGAATCACAGCCCAGAATGGGTCTTGCCTGAAAGGCAAATGGAAACAAGTGCTTTTTCACACAGTATGAAATCAAACCATGCAACTCACTGCCATGGGATGCTATGGAAGCCAAAGATATGTGTGCATTCCCAAAGGACAGGAACTGCTCACAAAAGGTAGCTACATCAGTAGTGACTAAGCTGCTGATGTCAAGAAGTCTGTCAACTTGTGACTGCCAAATCTTAGCTGGGTGTGTCACACCTTGGCTTGAGCAAGAACGGCTTTTGTACCATTTTCTGCCAGTGACTGGCTGCCACAGGCCAGTGGGCTGAGTGGGCCAACACAGGTCAGTGAGCAGACACAGATAAGTGGGCTGAAACAGGTCAGTGGGATGAGTGGGTTCCTGGTCTGCCCCTGCCTGGTGGCTCTGGTCTGCACTCTTCATAAGAGGAAGTACAGGTAGTGGGGAAAATTGTGTCTGCATCTGTCAGACCTTTCCTTTTGGAAGATCGATGAGGTGGCTGAGTGGGGGACGGAAACAGCTCAGTGAGAATTTATTTATTTAGCTACACATTCAACTTCTTGTAATGGGTATTAAAACATCCTATTCCATTTCTGATGGCTCTGATGTAAAGCACGCAGGCAGGACAGGGTGAAAGCTCATTTCAGGTTCTGGTCTTGGGACTGCTAAACATCAGCATGCAACACACAATGCTACCTGTAGCAGAAATGCTAAGTCACGGCTTGAAACAGTGACTGAGCACCTGGTGGGAAGGCAGGACCTACCCAGGGGAGCTCAGGTGCAAGTAATGCAGCTGAGTGACTGGAAGGGGTGGATCCTGGCTCCACCCCTTCTCAGATCTCATTTAAGGATCGGCAGTGGAGGTAAGGGTAGCTTACCTGGAGATTTCTGGAGATACCTGGGGTCTTCTGTGGGTGAGCAACTTTTTTCCTTTGTTTTTCTGTCCCCTGCTTCTGCATTTGGGCTTCTCCTTGCTTGCTGCAGCCACCCCACTGTTAATGTTGTGCTTTCCATTCCATTGTGGTGTTACGCTACCCAAAATTAGGACATGCTGGGGCACTGCCTGTCTCTCCCAAGCATCTGGAGGCTTTCAGAGCACCTCCTCAGGCCCACCAGGCACAAGTCAGTATGCCACATAGCTGCTGGTTGCTTGTGGGTATCCCTGGGATCTGGGAGTTATCTCTGACTCCTGGAGGTAAGTGCCAACAGCATGAGGCTAAGGAAAGCAGGACAAATATGAAACAACCCAATCTTCTGAACTGAGGTGTGCAGAGGATGAGCATCGTTCCAGAAGCTGCACAGGCCCAGGGAAAAGCAAATATACCTGGCCTGGCCTTGCTGCTGCACAGGGTTGCATATCAGTGCTGTGTTGGCAGAAGCTCCTGGCTGGGCTGCACCCTTGTGCTTATGGTCCTGGCATTGGTGAGTACCCACGCACTGGAAAGAAGAAGGGAAGTGGGTAAGCAGTAATGCAAAATGGAGGATTACAGCTAAGCAGGTCAAAGTTGTCGTAACTTCCCCCTTGCAAGGGTCCCAGATTGGGGTCCCAGATTGTTATCATAAGCACACGCTTGTGTGCTGAGATATGACACACAGGCACGAGCAGTTTAGGAATGTCTGTCCTGGCTTGCATGTAATTCAAAAGGGTGCTGAAGGGGAGGCCTACAGGCCTTCAAAAATACAAGTTTGTTTTAGCTAGGTTATACAAAATTGATCGCTTGTGAGTGCTGTGCTAATACAGTGATGAAAATGTCTCTTTCTGCTCTTCATTACTGCAGGGCTGTTTCTGGGATCTTAAAATGGTTGGTTTTCTGTTGTCATTGTTGTGCTTTTGTTTTGTGTGTGTGTTGTTTTTTTTTTAACAATAAAAAATAAAAACACAAATCAAAACCTACAATTTATTTATCTACTGTGGCCCTGTCTGGAAGCAGGGAATGCAAGACAGTTAGGACGTGGACTTGCTAAACACTGAGCAGAGAAGATAGCAGATGGGCAGTGTGGTGTTTTTGGTTGTGGCTTTTTTTATTATTATTTATTGATTTTATTCCTTCTTATGGCTGTCATGGCAGTTCTTTACTCTGGAGTGTTGTTTTCAAAGTGTCACAACTTCTGTCCAGGGAGGCAAGTCTCCTGCTTTTGCCTTCAGTAATTAACACTGAAACAGTTGTGTGCCCTAAGTCTTAAAAAGGACTTGAGCATCACATGAAAAGCATTTGCAAGACAGTCCTCCCTTCAGTGCAGAGCTGAAGATATAGACTGCTCAGCAGATGGAGGGCTGAGGTACGTTAATGGGTGCAGACTGAGCTGAAATAGGTGAGCTCTATGCGGAAGACCTTGGCTTAAGGCTATACCACTGTCTCAGTGCCTTTTGTTTGCTCCTCAACAGGCTGTGCACAGGAGAAGAAAGTGGCCAAAAGCAAAGTAGGAGAAAAAGTCGGCCTGCCTTGTTGTTACAAAATTCCCAGCTCAGAGAGCCTGCAAAACTACCGCGTGTATTGGCAGATGAACGTTACGGATGTGGTGCTGGCCTACTCAGGGGGGCAAAAGATCCTTGAGCACCCACGCTATGTCAACCGGACAAAGTTGGACTTTGAGAACCTCACCCTGTGGATCTCTGGTGTGGAAATCCTGGACAGCGGCCCTTACCAATGTATTGTTCAGAGCCTCCAGTCTTCACCGGACAAACCTGGATCTCATCTTTTGTGTGGAGAGCCCGTGACCCTCTTTGTTACTGGTAGGTGGGTTGCCTCCCCACATGTGAGGCTTTCTAGTGCCAACCTCTAGGGAGAAGGGGATATTCCTGGAAGCTTTCAGCATAGTGTAGCAGAGATGCTTTCACCATGATGCCTGAAAGAGAGCCAGAGTGTGCATTAAGCCTCCTGTAAGGCTTTTCTGTGCCACAGAAACACTTCCTGGGGGCTGGCCTGCACATGAGCTGCACAGCAGCTCCACAACCCAAAGCTGAGCTTAACTGAAGATTTGAGGCTTTTTTACCTCAAAGAAACCACTCAAGTTCCTCATCCAAGTTGCTCAAAATGAATCTGAATCTTTTCTTGGAGGCTACAAAAAGTTCCATTGACATGATTTTCCATTTGCACCACTGTTTTTCTGGTGGTTGGTTTCAGCCAAAAGCAGAGATACTGGTAAGATGCACATATATATTTATATATACATTTGAATACCTTTAGCAGCAGAGAGTTCCAGAAATCCTCCAAACAAGTTGGTGAAGGAGCATTCTTCCCCCCCTCAAATGAAATTCCCCAGCAAAAATATTCCCAAGCTTCTGAGATCTGGCCACTGCTGCTGACCCAAGTGGATGAGTGATGGACATCTGTGCAAGGAGTCACATTCTGTTATCTTTATGGGAGCCAAGGAGAAAGTAGGGAACTGGACTGTCAGAACCCTCTCATGGAGAGGAGTATTGCTGAGGGCTGAGAAGTTAGCCACGTGAAAAATGTGCAGCAATGAATCTCTTCTGACCACAAACACTCTAATTTCATGCCTTCCAGAAAAGCTCCTTTCTGTTTTATCAGAAATAAATGATTAATGATTGACTGTAGTCTACAGACAAAGAAGCCAGGGCTGGAGGGAGAATGCAAGGCATAAGAAAAACCAAACAGATGATGATAGTTGAGGGACACCTCATAGGAGGATCTTTGCTTTCACCATGGGTTTCTAAATGTTTTCTAAATCTTTCTTTTTTCAGCTGACTTCAGCAAGCCGAACGTAGAAAGGGAAGTAACTGCTAGTTCATGTGAATCAACAGAAATGGTGGTAAGATGTTCTTCTCATGGAGGCTTCCCCAAACCCAAAATCTACGGAGTCCTCAACAACGTGTCTGTGGTGTTGAATACCACCTGGGAGTCCGAGTCCAGCCTCAGCCCATACAACGTCACTGGCACGCTGTGGCTCAATGTGTCCAAAGATATCAACTTCACTTGTTTCATTGAATATGATGGCTTACTCACGTCCACCAGCTTGCTTCTAGGTAGGTTTTCATACTATGTAGGTTGCTCCAAAAATAATACCTCCTATTTCTTTCTGTGGAAGCTACAGCAGATGCAAAGAGCACAGTAACACTAATCAATAGCTGAGAAGTTGCTCTATGAAACGCTACTTTTCAGCGTAGTCGTAACTATTAGTTATGCATTGTTGCCAGTGGGGGTGACCAGCAGGGGTGACCCTCTGTTTCATAGCTGCTATGACCAGTGTAATTGCTGATGTGCACCACCCACTGCCTCTTTGTGTTTGTGTGTGGTTTGGTCTCCATAAATGTTCAGCAAGTACTGACATCAATGGCTGCAACTTTTTCTGCATGGAGGAATTACATGACACACCTTTGCTTCAAATGCCCATCCATGTCAGATGCCACTGCCTCAGACTGCCTCTCTGCTGCCATCTGTTGCGTGGCAACATGTAATGGAATATTGGTAGGAAGGTTCAGCCTCTACTGCCATGACATTGTGGGCCAACATCATAAAGTAGGAGGTATTACTTTTGGAACAGCCCTTGTAGTTTGTATTAGAGAACTATTTTATTGAACCTGCTGAGTTGCCCCTGAAGAAATGGTAAATCTCTGCATATCTGCTGATATGAAGATGACACAGTGGTTCAATGAGCAGCCCACCAAGATAGTTCAATGGCTCTTAAGTTGAAGGGTGGAGGGGAAAGATGGAGAGGTGGGTTACATCACTGACTGGTGAATGAGCAGATGGCTCACGCTTCCCATTGCTTCCTGGTGAATCACAGCTGGGTTGACAGGGCAGTTGGATCCTGCTGTGATCAGGTGGCATCAGCCCCAGTGTCTCTCACAGTTTGGGGCTGCCACTACTCAGTGTTCTTCTGTACCAGCATGGTCTTACTGCCAGTAGTGTGACACAGACCTGATGTTTGAATGGAGGGACTTGAGAAATGTGTGTGCCTCAGAGGTTATGATTACAAAGAATTTCCTTACCTCATAAGCATGTTTGTTCCTGCTTCAGTGACAGAAGATGTTAGCTGAGGGACTAGAGAAAATACTGCTTTCATACACATTTAATAGAGAGTTAACTCAAACAGATAAAATTCCATCACTTTGTTGGGCCTGGAAGTGATAATGTAATAGCTTAGCCTGTCCCTTGGAAAGCTTGAAGGATGAGTGGAAACAGTATGAGGCTAGGAAGCATGCTACAGTCTACGTATTTTGCAGCAGGAAGGGATTTGCAAAAAAAAAAAAAACTATTTAAAAAAAAAAATCCTTTTGGCTCTGTTATTGCCAAAGAAAATTATTTTAAAATATGTCTCTAGGTCTGAAGCTTTCATTGTAGAGATGCAGACAGCTTAAAGGAAAGCTAGAAAAGTGCTATGTGTCCCAGGAATTGTATCTTATTCATCAAGGTCCTTTATTTTTCAGCCTTTCTAAAATCAAAGGGGGTTGTGAGGAGAAGTGCCATTCAGCTTCAGGACAAATGCTGGAAGCCAGCGCTTCATGAATATTGGTTATTGCTGGGCACAGTGTGTAATCTCCCTAGAGATGATGGTAGGAAAAGAAGGTTATAAATATCATACAGGAAAAAGGAGAGTGACAAAATAGAAGTAATAGTAATACCCTGTTGTCACACATTTTCAGAGAAGGGTGCAATCAACAACGAGAACACAGTCACAAAGCCCTTGCCTTTTGACTTTTAAGAAGTACAACCACTCCCACTTTGGCACAGTGAAAATAGTCCTCCAAACAAGTCTTCTGTCTGGACAGAACACAGCTTCTGGTAAACACAGGAGGCAAACTCTGCACTGGGGGATGTATGAGGCCAGATTGTACAGCAGGTCAAAGTAGTATCTTAGAAGCTGGATGATGCTTAATTGTGCTAAATGTAGACAATGAAAATCTGAAGACATATGAACAGATACTCAGTGTGAGTATCCTAAGATTAGGATTGTCCTGTACCATATACATGGTCTGTTATCTACTTGTATTTCCAAATGGTGGAGTAGTCATCCCTAGTGGTGAACAGCTAAAAGATACAGACCCACTGATGCTGAACTGTCTGCTAAGATCCTTTTCCTTCTGTGTTGAGAATGACACCTCCAGTCCTTTAAATGCATAGAATCATACAGTTACCAAGGTTGGAAAAGGCCTCCAGATCATCCAGTCCAACCGTCTATCTACCACCAATATTTCCCACTGAACCACATCCCTCAGTATGACATCTAAATGTTTCTTGAACATCTCCAGGGACAGTGACTCCACTATTTCCCTGAGTAGCCAGTTCCAGCACCTGACCATTCTTTTGGAGGAAGAAAAAAAAAAAAAAGACATCTTGAAAAGATGAAATGAAAGAACATGTTGTTTCCCACCACCTGTGAATCCATAGAGGGGAAAAAATAAGCATAAATTTGGATAAAACAGTAAGAAAAACTGTGGAATGTATTTGAGAATGGAAATTTTCTGGATAAGTCTTTTCCACTAAGACTAACCAGTTACTTTAAGAAGTACTTAAGTCTGTCCAGCATTTTGGATTCTGTGGTAGTGACAAAAATTTCAGTATACAGCACATGGAGGGAAAATGAAGGGCTTCTATCGATTAGGTGCCAGCATTGTCTGTTTTCTTACTGAATAGGTGTATTTTCAGACTAAATATCCCAGTTAGAATTTGGCTTGAACTACCATAATTGACATGTCTGCTATTGCATGAAAATGACAAAATGTTGCTGGGCCCCATACTTATGCTTTATTTCTTCTGTCTCAGCAAAAGCCAACGACTGCATTGTCTCTACTGCACTTCCATCCTATAATGTCATTACTGCTTCAAGTATCATCATTATCACCTTCCTTTTGGCTGTCAGCCTAGCAGCAAAATACCTCCCAAGGCACGGTAAGTAAAGCTCCTTTTTCCAGAAACAGTTTCTTACTGCTTACTGCATTAACTATGTAAAATACACATTTATAGAAACTATACTGATACACTAAGTATTTTTGTACCTTCCTCTCATTTCTTTTTTTCTTTTTTTAATGCTGCATCTACTGTCACAAAATCTAAGTCCTGGCTCAGGACTTTCCTGTATTTTGCGTGCACGCAGCACTAGGGTTCCAAGTTGAGACTCTAATTGTCTTGGGAGTTTTGAAAGAAGGTCAGACTATTTCCAAAGAACGGAGTTGTATTCAGAAAGGTTAAGAGGTCCATTTTTATGTGTTAGGATGCTTGAAGATGTCAAGAATCTTTGTGAGCATCATCAACACAGCTGAGCACTAACAGTTTCAAAATGATATCTGTCTATACACCCTACTTGGACAATCTCTCAGAAAAGTCACAGAGCTAATATTACAAGAATGTATAGTGCTAGGGCTATAGAATAGACTTGAGCACTGCAATTTGAGTACTTTTAGGGGAGAAAAAAAAAAAAAAAACAGT